ATCTAATAATCCCTTCCCTTAGGATTTCAGGAAGAATCTATCACCAAAGCGAGAAAAGTCTTCCAGGTAACCATCCTGTCTTCTTTATGAGGACTGACCCAAGGTAGAAATCAACAAGAGTTCATTGGCTGGATCAGCCTACTTTAACCAGTGACTAAGGAGCGGGGGTAGACCATGCAAGGTCCCAAAAGAAAACCCCACACCAAAAAAGGGAGGATCACTGCTTTCAGTAGTGATATGGCTACAGACCCCTAGAATCCAGACCTTCCAAACTCACTTAGAGGACATCCAATCCAACTGATTATCTCTGAATATTCTACTAAAACAAGTGTGGTACACGGAGCAGAGCCAAGAGTCCATTCAGCTATGGGAAAATATAAAACATGTTGCCATATAAATAGACAATAATGTTTTATCTATAAAGGAATAAAGCAATAGAAAAGAGGGCTTCTTTTTTCCATAATTTATGTGATTTTCAATTAAAAGGAAATTTCTAACTAATGACACATTGTCTCCTTCCTAAATGCCAGTATGTCCAAAGCCAAATGACATATTGCAACTTTTCCCAAATATCTGTGTATCCTAAGCACACTGTGTCACCAGGACTGATCCAAAGACTTGATTTATGTTGCTGCCTGACAGATGATGTCTGTAAGGCATGCTGTCTAAATGGACTGTGCTCCGGCAGTTACCTTAGTCATCACTTCTCAGGGAATTAATGAGTACCATTCATCCCAATAATAGAAACCAAGGTCAGGGCCTCTTCCTTGCTCTGTAATTCCATTAGCATTGCACTGAGTGCACTTAGGTCATAAGTTCTGTAGACCTTATCACTGAGCAAATGGAGCTGCATCTTGTTTTCAGAGTGAATCCTCTCTGAGCACACCTCTTGTCAGAGATGTGTTGTGCATCAACATTCGGTGCACTTATACATGTAGGGAAAACTCTAGTAAAGGAAGAGTGAGGCTGCCTTCAGCTGCCAAGAGTTTCAAGTACTGTTTTTATTAAAGTAAATGCCAATAGAAAACATTTGTAATAAAGCCACGTCAGGTAATTCCAGTTGCTGAACATACATTTTTAAACTCAGTGCTCACTTCTGTTTTATGCAAGTCACTCAGTCATTTGATGTGGCTACCATTGAATTTATTTCTGCTTTCATTCTTTTATTTTGATCTCTATTCTTTTATCTTAGTTTTTATTCTAACTACCCTAATAAAGTTAAAGTGGCCCTGAAACTAAGTTATTACCATGAGCAAATAATTCTGTTTACAGTGAAACTTTCATCTTGAAGTCTCAACCAGCAAGCTTTTCTAAACTAAGTCTCATCAGTCATTCCCTTGCTCTTCATAATTTAAATTGCTTTCAACCTCTGACATATCAAAAAAGAAGGTAGTAACCCCAAGGTTTGAAGCCATAGGGAAGGATTTGAACTGTGGCTTTGACACTTGTTTTCTCAACACTGAAGTCAGGATGATTATTATACTTTCACAGCTACTTCACACTATTGCTGTAAGGATTTAAAGTAAGAGAGTTCTGCAGTGCCTGGAAATTAACAAGTAATGGCTTATCATTGTTGGGCATACAAATTGTGTGTGCATGTGCGTGTGTGTGTGTGTGTGTGTGTGTATGTGTGTGTGTGTGTGTAAATCTGTTTTGAAACATTTGGAGTTTTATGCCCAATAAATTTCAAATGATCTACAGTAATAGAGGAGAACAGAGGCATAAATAAGTCAAAACAGAAAATCATCCAAAGACCATTTGTATATGTTTTGAAGTATGTTTTAAAATTTTATTTCAAATGTCAGAATTTCTAATATCCAAAGAAATTACTTCACACAAAAAAATGACACCATGATGTGAAGTCCTAACTGAACAGGATCTGAAGAGCTGTTCAATTTCCTCTGCTTTTCTCTCTTCTCCCCCCACCTTGCCTGTCAAAAGACACATGCAGCAAAAAACCTGCTTCAGGCAAAGTTCCTGACTTCCACTCACCCTTGAATCGGGACCACTCATAAAGTGTTTAGTTCTTGGCTTAGAGGCAGGCTGTACTCATCAAATAAAAGCACCTGATACTCACAAAGCAAGTAATAGATTAGAGATCTGAGCCAGAAAAGTAAGAAATGCAGGGCGGTGGCTACACTCACTAACAGCAAGGCTATGAAATCTGATAGACTAGGGTTCTAAGCGCTGTTTAGCATATGTGACCTTGGACAAATTAATAACTGCTATATGCCTCAGTTTCCTCTACTGTAAACTTGTAATGACATCGAATATTTCATATGATTTGTTAAGGGGTGTTTTTAAATATATATATATACACACACACACATGTATATCACGTAGTGCTTGGCTCAGGTAGGTACTCATAAGAGGTAAGAAAAACGGTTACTGATATTCAATAAGTGTGAAAGTATGTGTGTATATGTGTGTAGGACTCAATGTAGGTGATTAGGAGACCCATATCATGCTGATTTCCCTTTGAATAATAAACTCTTAGAAGTTGGTGTTTTCCTACAGAAACCTGCAACATCATCTTTTTTGTGAAATCAGATAAAATAAACTCTTGACCTCACCCAGTGTCTATCTAATCCACCAAACACATCTCTTTCATAACTGAAGTTATTTTCCTGTGTTGATAGTTAGGGGATATTGCTCTGTATAATCCTGTAGTGAGCAAAGTGTTCCTTCAATTCTAGCAGTATTACAGGTTTACCCCATGTGAAAAGAAACCAAGTTGGCACCTACACGCAAGCACACATACACCCCTCGGCAGTGATAAGAGAAATATTTAAAAGATAATAATAATAAAAAGAATGACAGTTAATACTTATAGATCCATTCTTACATGTCAGGCATTGTTCTCACTTTTCCTATGAAAACTCATTTAATTCTCAGATGCAGTCTGTGACATCAGTGCTATTACTGTACCAATTTTACTGCTGAAAAACAAACTCAGAGGAGTTAGGTAATTTTGCAGAGGCCACGGGATAGATAACAATATACACATTATGGCCAGGGAGACCAAATCATTTACAAGCCACCCATTCCAAGACACTGTTGAACATGAAAGGGGGCAAAAATAGGAACTAAAGTTCACCCTCATTGTGGTTGAAAACCAAATACCTCGCAATGCCTACATCATTTTTTAAAATCAGCACATTAATAAGTTCTTATTGTATTTCTACTTGAAAAAATATATTTATTGTCCTAAGATTCTAAGATGATCATTAACATGCTCTAGGTAAGGTGTTCTTCATTAAGGCCATTAGTGCTTATGGTAAATAAAAGTGTATCTCAGCTTCCAACATGATGAGTTTCACTTCAGGGACACAGGCTCAGCCAATATTTTCATATGTTATCTATAACCTTTCACAATAGAAGAATGAACAAGGTCCTGACTCATTAACTCACTAATTGTCCTTCCTTGCCACAGTTATTAGCTAATGTTCTGCCTTTTGCTGTAAAGCATGTGCAAGATTGAGAGTTCAAGGAATAGACATCCCTGAAGCATACTGAATGGTGGGTTATGTCACTGCATCTTTCTGCAGATCAAAGCAGTACCTGATTCCACAGGGAGAGCAACAACACAGAGTTGCTCACAGGTTTCTGAGCAGGGGCTCACAGTCTTGACGGGAGAAAGGAAAGAGAATGGGTTTCTAGATTGGTAGAAACTCCTTGAGGGAGTTTCCAGAAACACTGTATACTACTGATGTCCACCCCAAAAACAGTTATCTTGGTAGGTACTTGAACATTTACACTGAAGTTGACCTGCCAGGAAAATCTGTATGCCTGTATGTGTGGCTCTCCTCACACATATAAATAAATAATTAAAAGAAAATAAGTGAGCTGGGCATGGTGGCTCACACATGTAATTCCAGCACTTTGGGAGGCTGAGGCAGGTGGATCACCTGAGGTAAGGAGTTTGAGACCAGCCTGGCCAACATGGTGAAACCCCATCTCTACTAAAAATACAAAAAACAAGGCGTGGTGGCACATACCTATAATCCCAGCTACCTGGGAGGCTGAGGGCAGGAGAATGGCTTGAACCCAGGAGGCAGAGGTTGCAGTGAGCCGAGACTATGCCATTGCACTCCAGCCTGGGCAACAGCGCAAGACTCTGCCTCAAAAAAAAAAGAAAAAAGAAAAGAAGCATACATTGTTTTTAAAAGACATATAACATTTTACCAATCCTAAACATTTTTATATTTTAATATTTTGACATTTGGAGAGTATCTTATAGCCAATGGAGCATCTTTATTTAGTTAGCAGTGTTACTTCCCCGCCCCCCACCCCCCCGGTGACATATAAAATAAAGGTGTGTCTTACTATCCATGGCATTGCAGATTTGATAAAATGCATTATATATCAGACATTAGCAAGATATCAGCACAGTGTAAAGGTAAATCAGAAAGAAGAGGTAAGATGTGACAACACACTAACCTTTAAAGCTTAGTAGATGAGTGGGAAGTTGGTTATAACTTCTTTACCAAGTGGTTACTACCCATATTAACACATATTTCTTTCCTTCCTTGTTTTCTCTTCTCAATAAAATAAAATGGTAGAAATTAAATTTCTGTCATTTATTATAGCTCCCTTAAATTGCTGATTATTGTCTCTAGAATATGAGCTCATGGGGCACAAATCTCCCTAGGAGCTTCTTAGAAATTCACCTCCTGCCTAGACATTCTAATTGAGATGGGCCCCAGTAAGGCCCAAATAGCTGTCTATTTAACTCCTGGTTAATTTTGATCAACCCAAAGTTTGAGAACCCCTGGTCTGTGTTTGGAATTGGCCTATCACTGCAAAGGACTTGAATTTAGAAACTCTGGTCTCAGTAGTATGCACAGGACCCCATTTGACAGAAATCAGTGTGATTTCAAAAGGCAAATATACTGACAAAGGAAGGAATTCTGACATTGCATTGTTTCCTTTGGGGCTGGGACTGAAAGAACATGTATTGGTGATGTCCCTGATACCTATTTCTGTTGGGGTTTTTTTAGCTGTGCCCCATAAAATCGGACGCATCATTGATGGGAGTCCTGCAGATCGCTGTGCAAAACTAAAAGTGGGAGACCGGATCCTAGCAGTGAATGGCCAGTCTATCATCAACATGCCTCACGCTGACATCGTGAAGCTCATCAAGGATGCAGGTCTTAGTGTCACCCTTCGCATCATTCCTCAGGAGGGTGAGTGCCTGAGGCAGCCTTGCAGAGAGGCAGTCAACACACGGACACACTCACCGGCTGTTGTCAGCCTGCCCGCCAGGGTCGTGGAGTGCACATGCCTGCCGTCAGTGTGGCTTCAGAGTGTCAGAGGTTGATTATTATTTCCACCTTTGCAAAAACTCACACTCAGTTGTAATCCATATCCTGTTTACTCAGTACCTGTTTCATTCAGAGGTCAAGCTATGTGGCATTCCAGGCCACACAGAGTGAATTCTGAGACACCAGGTTATTCAGTCATCCCGTGTGGGTCCCCGTTTTTATGGTTATATTAAGTCAGAACTCATTCAGCAGAGGTGAAAGAGTTATAAATCTAAAAAAAAAAATTTATGTTAACAGTAAATCTCTAGAGGATTCTTCAAAGTCAGATTGGTTTTGAAAAACATGAAGTTTTGTGGTGTAAGAAGAGCTCATTTAGAAAATGTTGCATCTGATAAGAATTTAAAATTCTCACTGAGCCTTTGAATTTGTCTATACAAGGACTCCCTCCTGAGGCTCAAAACAGTAGTGAACAGTACAATTCATAACCATGCCCTAAGGGGCCATGGAGCTGTGAACATCACTGCACCATAAATTCACCATTTCCAGAGACAGTGGGTCCGTGACTTCTTTCTGGCTGCTGACTCATCAATGTTACTGAAGAATTCCATTTCTGGAGCTCACTGATGAATGTCCCACACAGGGGCTGATGAGCTCACTCAACTTGCTACCCTTTGTTTTATTCAGCCCCCAATTACATTTTAGGATTATCTGACATGCGGGCACCAAATGGCTAAACAGCCACTTGACTTTAAATATAAAACAGTAGTTCTCAACGGGGGTGATTTTCTCCCCCCAGGGGACATTTGGCAAAGTCTGGAGGCATTTTTGACTGTCCTGATTGGGGTGGGCACGCTGCTGGCATCTAGTGGGTAGAGGCCAAGAATGCTGCCAACCATCCTAAAATACACAGGACAGCTGCCCAAAGGAAAGAATCACCCAGCCCAAAATGCCTACAGTGCTGAGGCAGGGAAACCCTGATATAAATGGAGAAGACATTAAAAGATTTGGACTATGGGGAAAAAAAGGGGAAGAAGAGTTTGTAGAAGAATGCTAATAGATTACCTCCCTTTTCTTACCCAATCATAAAAAGAGACAGAGAAAAGAAAATGACCATGCTTTTTTTAAAGCTACTATCTGCAGACACCAATATGTATAAACTATTCAATGGAAATTAACTGCAAACAAGGCTGCTCATTGAAAATCTAAATGCTTCCCAGTTTTCCGAGTCTGGAATGTGTCTGTTGGGCCCCTATGCCAATATATAGAGTCAATTTCAGTTGAAAATCTGATGTTATTAGGAAAGAAATCTGGAAGCAGTTATTTAAGAACAGTTTTGTGAATCTTCCTGTGTCCATTTTTTCTTCTTTTTTCTTTCTGGAGAAATGCGGAGTCCAGTGGGCTATGAGGCAATAAGACTGACAAGGGATGAGGAAAAGATTGTAAAAAGCATTTTCCTTTTTATGGTTCATTACTTATCCACACGTTGAAAGACTCTTCAGACTGTTTATTACAAGTAAAATGTGGTGGCAGAACCATTTGCGAAAATAGAGTATGTGTTAGAGCTTAGTCCTTTGAATTATTTTTTCCATAGTTTTACGGGGTTTTTTGGTAATCTTTTCTTCTGGCAGAATGACAAGATACTGTTTATAACCTTGTTGCGCAGTGATCATTAATGAAAGAATATAGATATCGGAAGTGGTATTAGAACTTGATAAGTTTCACCTGCTATCTAAACACCTAACAGAAACAGAAATAACCAAAGCCTAAGCCATCTGCAAAGGCAACAACACCACCTCTGATCACCTCTTTCCCCTTATCAATGCTAACCTGACTTCATCTGGCGCTTTGGTTCTCCATCGCAGAGCTCAACAGCCCCACCTCGGCACCCAGCTCAGAGAAGCAGAGTCCCATGGCGCAGCAGAGTCCCCTGGCACAGCAGAGTCCCCTGGCACAGCCAAGCCCAGCCACTCCCAACAGCCCCGTCGCCCAGCCAGCACCACCTCAACCACTTCAGCTGCAAGGCCATGAAAATAGGTAAAGTTGCCTCTGACATTTGTGATTCTGAGAGGCGAGGGGGTGGGGAGGGGAGGGAGCGTTTGGGGACAGTACAGGACAGGCAGAGAGATTTCTCATAAAGTAGAAATCGCTGTGCGCACCTGTGTGTGATTTTGAGGTTGTGTGTGTGTTATAGATATGGTTTTATTAGTAGATAGCTGAGTGTCTGTCCTTCACAAAGAGAGACGCTTTCCTGAGGAAATGGTGAGCAGTTGCAGATGAGTAGGGCTTAGCAGTTGAAGAGTGTGTTAAAGGGAGGTCCAGAGTGAAAAACATACTCGAAGGCCCTCTGGCAGGAGCGAGCATGCAGCATGAAAGATAGAGAGATGGCCAATATAGGGGTGACAGAGGCAGAAGTGCACGATGTCAGATGCAGCCAGTGAGGGTGGCCAGGGCCATCCCTAAAGGGCCTGGTAAACATGCTTGTTCAATGTTTTGATCTTTAAGTGCATTGGGCTTTGAAGGGTCTTAAGCTGAGGACTGATATCACTGGATTTGCTTTATAAGAAGGCCTCTCAGTCTGCCCTGCAGAGAGCAGACAGGAGGCTGGCAGGGTAAATGCAGGTTAAGCAGTTAGGAGTTGGCTGCAGACGTCCACTGAACCATGAAGGTCATGACTAAGAGAATGCTGAAGGATTTGTAGGCATTAATAAGTATTAGCAGCCAAGTGTGGTGGTTCACGCCTATAATCCCAGCACTTTGAGAAGCCAAGGTTTGAGGATTGCTTGAGCCCAGGAGTTCAAGACCAGCCTAAGCAACGTGGTAAAACCCCATCTCTACAAAAAATACAAAAATTAGCCAGTCATAGTGGTACTCGCCTGTAGTTACAGCTACTTGGGAGGCTGAGGCAGGAGAATCACTTGAGCCCAGGAGGCAGAGGTTGCAGTAAGCTGAGAACATTCCCATTGCACTCCAGCCTGGGTGACAGAGTAAGACTCTGTCTCAAAAATAAAATAAATTAGCATTTTTACTGAGTATAATAACTTTACATCCTCCTACTCACAATCTAATGAGGTTCGTCTATTCCACACATAGCATTAGAGATAGGCATCATAGACTAAAGAATACAACATTTTGAACTTCCAGAAAAACAATTTTATAAGAACAACACTGTCTTCTCATTGTGACCTGTAAATAACAAGGATCCTGGGTTGGGTTGCACCATTAAAGAAAAAGATGAAGACATGTTCCCATGATGCTTTCTCCGTTTTCATGGGAGAAAAACAGAACAATTCACAGAAACACGTCTGCATACAAACCCCTCGCTGGCCTTTTTCATGATTCTAATGTTTTCTGAACATCTGCTTCCCATCCCTCTCCTCCCATGATGGTGAAGATGAAGTGAGACTCTGTTTTTGATTCCCAGAACTCTCTGGGTTCATCATTCACATTGTTGCAAGCAAACTCTGTTCCCTGTGCCACAGGTGGCATTTCTACAAAGCCTCATTCTACTGATTTCCCATTTGCTTTCATAGAAAAATAAATGTCTGGTTGTCCTCAGCTGCTTATGTTTTTAATATGTGCAAGAAAGAGAAAAGCCCCATAAAGCAAATGATGCAGAAGTGAGAATTTGACAATCCATAAGAAGGGTAGGTCCTAGGTGTCTCAGTAATGAGCCTCAGATGTGTTTGCTCTTGCCGTGTATCAATTCAACAGATTGCACTGGCTTTCCCCAGAATTCATTTTAGACTCAAGAGGAAGGACTTGAGCGCCCCAGCAGTCCCCAAGCCAGCTTCAGGCTATTCTTGCTGTGGTCAATTAATCTTGCAGCCACATTGCATTCTCCTTTCCAGAGTTGGATTTCCCTGGACATGGCTCTTGCTTCCACGCTTGGGTGGGTGAGCTCATCCCTGGCATGCTGTATCCCTGAGGGGAGAACCACAGCTGGATACAGCCACTGTCATACCCCATCTGCCACCAGCTCACAACTGGGATACCTTGTTCCCTATCACAGAAGCAGTGGTCTCTGGACATCCTTACTGCAGAGTGAAATATTCCTAAAGATGAACCTAATCCAAATGTGTATAAGTCACCAACATATTTGCCCAGAGTTTAAGGTATTTTGGTGCTTCTACTACTACATTGCTTCTAAAGTATTTTGCTTCGATTACTATATTAACAGCTTAGGAAGTGCTCATTCCAACTCTAGGGCCCTTTATTGGCCCTCGGGTTTACTGGTTGAACTCTGGGATTCCTGGTGGTGGCTCATTTATATATGAATGAAGAGGTTCAGTAATCTTACAGGTACCAGAAACATTTTTCCTAATTACATTTTAAGATGTCCATGGTATCAGAGGGAAAACTCTTTGCCATTTTTTTAGATCAGGCTGGAGACCTCTCTAAAACAGTTTATAAGCCAAGTGCATAGTATGAATTTCCTGTTTCTCCATTTGTCCAAGGAGTGCCCACCTACATGTCAAATTGAGCCAGTTCTCATATTAGAGCGGGACAAAATAAAATGGCAGTCTGCTTGCAAATGTCTATGTTGTGAGTTAGAATGAGTGATATTTTTTCCTGCATATTTACCCTTGGATTGACTTCCTGTGACATCCCATACACCTCTCCCCATTTCTCAGTCTTTTAACATTTTTTGGGTGTATGCTCAGGAAGCACGAAACAATTTTAATATGAAGATAAGCAAAAACACTATTCAAGGAGAAGCATTTGTTGAAAACAGTGGAACAGCCGTTATGGAATATATTTCAAAACTAAGTATAAATAGCAGAGTTCACCTTCTCTAGCAAGGGCAATTGATATTTGCAGTTTAATTGGCAAGGTCAGTGAAAGACCATTGGAAACTGAATTATTTCACAGACTTTGAACTCTAGATGCCCAGGACTGGAAGTGATTCTTGAAGGGCCACATGACGTGCATTCTTACCATGGGCAGCATTTCTTTGTTCTGGAACTTTTTCATACCACAAAAACCTGCTAGAATGTACCATTTGCAGTCTGGTTTTTATCATTTCTAAAGTCTCTTCAACAATGGAATTAATAGCTATGATGGGTTATATTGATGATCTTCTTTCAGAAGTAAAAGAACTTAAGAGAGTCAGTTTTTAAAAATAATCCTGAGTTTTCTTTAAAGTGTTTCACACATTCAATGCAACATAATTTTTGTCCTAGCTGGTATATTATTCACTTAAAAGTTAGAAACATTCATAAAAAAATTAGTATGTTTTCCTTATTAAAGAATTCTTCAATGTGTAGTTCAACTTAAAATCCTAACGCAAAACGCTGCATAGAATATAGTTTGAATGCCTGACAGCCTGGATGAGAGTGTTGAAAGTTTCAACTGCTCCTATTTTTAGTCATTTGTGTTACTTTGGGGGAGATTCTTACATTTCACCCTCTTTTTCCATATCTCGAGACACATCTGGTTAAAAATTGAGCACACAATGGATATTGCATGTCAATACCACACAGATCATGGAAATAAAGTGACTATGTGATAACTTAAAACACTGTGACATCCAAACCACCAAGCAAGCTATTTCCAGAAAGGAATCAACACACACTGGCAAATGTCACCCAGTTCAATTCCTTTTGTTTAATGCATGCATTTGCATAGTTAAGCATCTTATTCAAAGCATATTTTAAATAATTCTATTCTCAGCATGCATACTCTCAGTAGGCAAGTGGACAACTGAGGTATAAAGCAAAGCCAAAATTATGCAGCTCACAAAAGGAATGCCTCTCCTCTGCAGGGTTAAGGAACAAATGGGACCTACTCAGAGTTGATTAACTACATTACTAACCCCCTTCTAAGAGCCCCAAATAAACACATCTGTTGCCATGCACTTTCAGTGTGCCCTCACCAAATATTAGATTACACTACCGGCAATTGTTCAAGCAAGTGATTTTAAAAAATACTTAATACTAATCAGCACCAGTGAGACCATAAGCCAGTAAAAAAAAAAAAAAAAAGATACATCTAGAGTTAAAGGTAAGAATTCTACTGGTTTGCACCAGTTTTCCTGACACATTTGAGATTTTTCTTGCTGCTAAATATTATCTCAATTCCTCATACCCTCCAATTAATTTTAGATAAAATTGTTACCATGTAGAATGTACTTTTTCAATCTACCTACATCCCTGGGTAGCTCATTATAGACTGTTGCCATGGCAATAGGCAGTGAACAACAGAATTAAGTGGCCTCCACACCATGGTGATAATTTTTCAGTTTACCTTATTAATGATCCCACAGTGGTAGGGATTGGCTATTTCTTTTGAAACTAGTAACCTCCTCAGCTTAAAGCAGTTTGGATCACAAAACAATGCTAAACTCCCAGCTCTGGTCTCTGTGTTTATTTCATTAGTAACTAATATCTAGAAGCAAAAAAAAAAAAGAGATATATGTTAGACACAAACATTTTTGCCTTCTCTTCCATCTTATGACCACCGTAGTATCTGATGCGAATCCTTATAGCTATGGTGTAGTATTTAAGCCTCTGTGTAATATGTTTCCAATTTTACCAATGATCCAATGACTTGTCACTTATTTGTAGTGATTATATTTTACCATCACTCCTTTAACCTCTGTAAAATATTCAAAAAGACCCAACTCAGCAGGTTAAAATAGCCTTAATTGTGTGTTTGTAATGTATTTACAGATCACTTCAATCATGTTTTTATAAAGTAATGAATGATCTACCAAGGGGTGTGTGTGAGAGAAAAAAGTGAGAGTGAGAGAGGAAGGTTGGTGTACTGGTGTGAAGACAGGCTGATTTTGGGGGATGTATGGTTCAGTACTTCAATCCCTAGATTTGCTGTGGCTGTACAGTTTTTAAATAGCCAAAGTCAAAGAGGAACATCCATGAGTCCTTTTCCACAAGGTTCTGGTTGAGCCATCATTTTTACCTTGACTTCTTAAGGAGCCAAATGAAAAGTATACAATGTGGCATTCGTCACAGATTTTTAAATAATATTTATTTAATCTTTTCATAATCCTGAACATGCAACAGGACCACCGAGAGGAGTGGCTTGTGTGAGCTGTCATGGCTGGACCACCTCTGGAGGCCATGTGATCATTCTAGTCTCCTTAGAATGCACCTGAGTTACAAGCAAATCCCATTTCCATTGATTTAGTTACAGGTCAGAAGTGAAAGCAAGGCAAGATGTGAAACCAGACATTCGACAGCCTCCATTCACAGACTACAGGCAGCCCCCGCTGGACTACAGGCAACCCCCAGGAGGCGATTACCAGCAGCCCCCGCCCTTGGACTACAGGCAGCCTCCCCTGCTGGACTACAGGCAGCACTCCCCTGACACCAGGCAGTACCCTCTGTCGGACTACAGGCAGCCCCAGGTACCTCCTCCCCAAGAGCAGGGTGGGCCCTGACCAAGGCTTCCAGAGAACTGCAAGGAATGAAATTGAGACAGAGGAAAGTGTACCTGTCTGGGATAGACAGTTGCAGTTCTATTCCTAACTCTGATAACATCGGGGTAACACCTGCATCCTCAAAAACATGCTGGATAAATAAATCTATTTCAGAATAAACCAGGACAATAAATAAATATGGATAAATAAATAAATAGTGGATGAGTAGTAATGGAATGAACTAATCCCTGCTAATACTAGCTAACTCCCTGTATATTTCCTTGTCAAAGTATCTAAAATGCTCTAAGCTGGGACCTCTGAGAGTGCTCCTAAGGAAACTTTATAGATGCTAGCACTGGAGCTATTTTAGGTCCATAGTTTTTTACTTGGCCCCCTACCTGCCTTTCTGTGATAAAGGGCCAAGCCCCTGCACATAAGGGTAAGACTAGGCCTGGCTTCACAATCCAGAGTGTAGCCTGTGCAACAGCCAACAACTTCCTGTCTACATAACCAGTGGCATGTTTGTTATGATTATTCGTTGATGCACTTCGTGTCAACTTCCTTTACTTCTCTGAGATTCAGTTTCCTAAAGGGAGGGTCTTCCTTACAGTCCACAGTGAGGATTCGACATTTATGGAAAGAGTCTAGACCAGAGTTTGGTATCTAGAAAATATTTTCTACTTCATAACTACACATCAAAATATAAATTAAGTACAATCTCAATTCTATCAGATTATATTGTGTTTTATTACGAATTGAAGATCGCCTTTATCCTCAAAGATTTTAAGAATAGTGAAGATCAGAGATTCTTGGACATATTGTATTTCAGGTAAAAGAGAAATTGATTTTGTACATTCCAATTTGATATTCAAAAGTCTGTGCAACTGAGAGATCTATCAGATGCCACTAAATTTCACTTTTCTAATCAGCAAACTCTGTAATTTACATACACACAAGCACATACACACACACCTGATATTTATTTATCATGCTCAACAGCAGTGAATGAGAAAAATCAAAGGAGAGATGATATCATTCAAGCCTATTGGTAATCATTCCACATTTGCCAAGTAAACCAATGAATACCAAAGTAAGCAAACTACACAGTAATTCTTTGATGACCAAGTAAACTATGCTGTGGTCTGCTCAAACCTTTGGAATTTTGTCTTGCATTTGGATAGTTCATAAAGTCAGATTACTACTTCTCCCATCATCATGTCATTTGGAATACATTGACTAAGAGAGAGAAGGAGAGCACAGAGACTAGCCACAGAAGCTTCACTGATACTAAACAATTGTCTATTCCATTTTCTCCCCCACCCCAAAGGATTTTGATTATTTCACTGTGGACATGGAGAAAGGAGCCAAAGGATTTGGATTCAGCATTCGTGGAGGAAGGGAATACAAAATGGATTTGTATGTGCTGAGATTGGCAGAAGATGGACCAGCAATAAGGAATGGGAGAATGAGGGTAAGAACAGTCTCTTTTTATAGAATTGCTTAATTCTGAAAGAAAACCCCACTGTGGCATTGGAAGAGTGCTGAAGCATGCTGTCAGACAGAGTTGCTGTAGGTTTGCCTTCCTTCTAGTTCATGACCCAGTTTCTTAAAGGTTTGGCCAAATGCTATTTTATAATATCTCTCATTCTCATGTTTCTGCTTATGACCTTCTAATTGATTAAACCTCAATAAAGCACTATTTTTCTAAAGAGCAAATGAAAGAAAATGGAGAAAGTATTGAAATCTAAAAAATAGCTTGAAAAGGAAACATTATTTCTCCATAATTCTTTCTATAGTTTGATGATTCTGTTTTCATTAAGGTTGAATCTTTTGAAATTTATTTTTAGTTTTGTGCTTTCTCCCCCATAGTGATTAATCTTACGCTTTTGCAGGACTTTTCGGAAATGTTTCATTTGTGTTGACTCGTCTTTTGGTTTGATACTGGGCAGACAGAAGCATTACGAGAAAAAGGGATTTGGCTTCTTGGATACAGGTTGTTCTTAAAAATGACAGCAGGAGGCTGGCATGGTGGCTCATGCCTGTAATCCCAGCACTTTGGGAGGCCAAGGCAGATGGATCACAAGGTCAGGAGCTCAAGATCAGCCTGACCAACATGGTGAGACCCAGCCTCTACTAAAAAAAAAAAAAAACACAAAACTTAGCCAGGTGTGGTGGCATACGCCTGTAATCCCAGCACTCAGGAGACTGAGGCAGGAGAATCGCTTGAACCTGGGAGGTAGAGGTTGCAGTGAGCGGAGAGGTTGCAGTGAGCCGAGATGGCACCACTGCACTCCAGCCTGGGTGACAGAGTGAGACTCCATCTCGAAAAAAAAAAAAAATGACAGCAGCTAGAAATTTTCCAATTAGAGTATAAGTTGAGAGTGGATTTTTTCATTTAATAATTACTTTGAGGCATCTGATTGATGAGTAACTAATTCTTCATTTAAGTGTATAAAACAAAGCTTGTTAACAAAATAAAACATTAGACAGTCTCCTTTCTCTCTCTCTCTCTCTGTCTCTCTCTCTCTCTCTATCCATGTGTGTGTGTGTGTGTGTGTGTGTGTGTGTGTGTGTAAAATCTAGGATTTATTCTTGCCCTCCCTCCTAGCTCTTTAAGTTAATACAGAAAAGCGGTGGCTTTGGGATTCTGGAGCCTCGGATTCTTGTGCAGAGCCTCACCAACCAATTTTCCCTGTTGGCTGAATCTGTTATTTCTACCACCAAGTCTACATATCTGTGATACTCATTTCCAAGTCAGGGGATTAGCCACAGTACAAAAACAGAAAGCAGGCACATCATGTCTTGGTTTCTTCTTCTCACCACACTCCTTTGACAGCTGGGAACTATCTGAGTTGGAATTTAAACCCGGGCAGGGCTGACACCAAAGACTGGCAGCCCCCGCCCTGATCTAGCACCAGCTTCCTCTTACCTGTCTCACCCTGGTTTGAAGATGGGCCTCCACATGGTTTCCTGTCTCTATAGCTTCCCTATCAACCAGAAGGACACTTTCTTAACCTACTGTAAAGCCAGCTCACAAGTGGTTAAGTAAAAAAATATTAATCGTCGCAGCGCAGGTGAAACACAGCAGAAAGACCATGAGCGAAATGGCCAGAGCCCTGTGAGAGATAGAGGCCCACAGTGGACTGCAGGGCTGGTCTCCGTAGGTTACAAACAGTGGCCATGTATTTTAACAAGGGGTCTACATGACTCACTGCTGGATAGATACAGTACTCCCAAGGCCAAGAAGCCTAAATAGAGAAATACTCTTACAGGAAAAGATTCCTCTTTCTTACAGAATTTAAGCCAGAGCAATTGTTCTCAGCATAGTTCCTGACATCAGCATCACCTGGAAACTTGGTGGAAATGCAGATTCTCGAGCCCCACCCCAGACCTGCTGAATCAGAAACGCTAGGATCACCCACCAGGCTATGTTTTAGGAAACCCTCCAATCGAATCTCTGAGGTTTTACCTTCCGAGGTTTTTTATAGATACTTGTGTCAACTGCAGTCCAAAAATATTACATGAAAATTTTCAGAAATAAACAATTTATAAATTTTAAATTGTACAGCATTCTGAGTAGTGTGCTGAAATGTCCTTCCCAGAAGGTGACGCAGCCCTTTATCCACACTGTAGATGCTACCTGCCCATTGGTCACTCAATAGCTCTCTCGATTATCAGATGTATTAAAAGTTGAACAGACAAAACAAAACATAATTTGTGAATGCAGAAAATAAGGGGAATAGTAATAGAGATGTGTATCATTGTCATGTCTGATTGCTTTTCTTCAGTCACTCAAGAAGACTAATGTTGGCTGGGCACAGTGGCTCATGCCTGTAATCCCAGCACTTTGGGAGGCTGAGGCATGCGGATCACGAGGTCAAGAGATCAGGACCATCCTGGCCAACATGGTGAAACTCCGTCTCTACTAAAAAATACAAAAATTAGCTGGGCGTGGTGGCGCGCACCTGTAGTCCCAGCTACTTGGGAGGCTGAGGCAGGAGAATTGCTTGAACCCGGGAGGCGGAGGTTGCAGTGAGCCAAGATCACACCACTGCACTCCAGCCTGGTGCCTGGCGACAAAGTAAGACTCAGTCTCAAAAAAGAAAAGAAAGCTAACATCATAATGGAAACACAATGGACAGTCAGGTTTTAAGGAAACGTATAATAAATTATTGGAAAATATTACTGAATCTCTTTGTAAAAAGAAGACTTATGTTTGTAAAATAGTCTAATAAAATTGGGAGGGATGAATTTTTCATAGCTAGTGAATAAATCTCTGATACAAAGTTCCTGGGAATATAACCTAATTAAGCACTGAAACTAAATAGAACACACAGGCAAAAAATAGTGAATATAAAAAATATTGGAGAAGCTCAGTAAAACAGGGAAGGTAAGAAATCAGGAGACATTTGGAGGGAAAGAATAGAAATTCCAAGTGCTTAAATAAAAATCTGAGAGTCAAAAGAGGATCTGAAAGGAGATCAAGTTTGCTCTTAAAATGGTAAAATATTTTCCTGTTTCCATAAAAGTATAATATAGTTCGCATTTCCATAAAATGTATTTTTATGATGAAAAGGAACATCATTTCATAACTTCATCACCTGCAGCTGGGCACCATTTGTATATGCCTAGTTAGCATCACATAAACTTATTTATAAAATGGTTTACCTACTTTCTGAAACTCACATGATGCAAAAGTCTGCTTGCAATGGGCTTTAGAATGACCTAAAACATTTTATTCAACTAATCAATGCACAAAAAAGATACCACTTGCCCATCTTTTTTTAATGGAAAGCAACATTCTCTGAAATTAGCTTATTTTAAATTTGTCACCTTTCTCTCCATGGGCCAGACATAACTATTCAAAACAAAAGCATTCTGGTTTACATATTGTTCTTATTAAACATAAAACCATTTACAAAGAATATTTCTAACATATGTAATAGGTATAAATAATAACAATGATTCAAGGACCCATGAACCCATAGCCCAGCTTAAAAAACAGAATATTACCAAGCTCCCATGATTTCATTCTCCTCCCACTCTCCAGCCCTCAAAGAGAACCATCTTCCTAAATAAAGCACTTGACATTTCTTCTATTGTTACCACAGATGTGTATATCTCTCAACTATATCATTGGGTTTTGCACACTTTGTGAACTTTATGTAACTGAATCGTACATGTTCTCCTCTGTGGTTTCCTTTAACTTCATGAGATGCATCCAAGGTTGGTGTATGAAGCTATAGTTCATTTACTTTTCACTGCTATAAGGTATTTCATTATACAAATATGCTACAACCTATAGTAGTTATCTATTTTTCTGTTTTATGGACATTTGAGATTTTCTCTGTCAATTTACACTTTTTGGTTGTTTCCAAGATTTCTATAACTTATACAATCCTTGTACATCTTTCCTACTGTATCTATGCAAAACTTTCTCTAGACTAGACTATATGCCTTGGAGGGCACAAGTTTAACTTACTTAAGTAACACAAAAGTGTTGTCCAAGGTGGTTATACAGTTATATTAGCATGTAAAAAAGTTTTTCTTACTACGCACACTCACAAGATTTGTAATTCAGACTTTTAAACTCTCATTCTGGTAGGTAGAAAATGACATATTTTAGGTTTAGATTTGTATTTCTTGATTATGAATGATATTCATCATTTTTTATGTTTTATTAGACTTTCATGTTCTCTCTTAAATAAAAAATGCCTGTATATGTCTTTTCTCCATTTTCTGTTGAATATTTCTTCATATTTATTATAGAAGTGTTTATATGATTATTGTTTATATTATTATTAATGTGATACAGATATCTTATGCCAGTTTATACTTGTAGTTTCACTTTCTTTATAATGCTCTTTGATAATGAGAAAGTCTTAATTTTAGTGTAATTGACTTAACCTTTTTATATATATACAGTTTCTACTTTCTGTGTTTTGTTTGAGAAATCATTCCCCAAGACATGGTCTTAAACATCTTCTTTTATATCTTCTTCTAAAAGTTTTATAGTTTTACTTTCTATATCCAAGCTTTTAAACACCTACAATTGATTTCTCTGTATGATATAAGGTAGAACTCCAATCTCAATTTTTCCATATGGATAACCACGTCACAGCATCATTTAATGAGTATTTCTTTGCCCTTCCCCCCAAACAATCTGCAATGGCAGCTCAATAATAAGTTAAATTTCTATAAAGCAATGGTCTGTAAATGGATTCTTTATACTGTTCTACTAGTCTATTTGTCTATCCCTGCATCAATGCCATACTTATCTTTTAATGAGTGTTGAGTGTTTCATGGGGAAACTGTCTCTCCCCTCAGACATACATCTTAATCCTTCAGGGGTGTTTGGATATTCTTGGGCTCTTGCCTTTCCATATAATTTTAGAATTTGCTTGTCAAGTTTCTAAAAAATCCTGTTAGAAATTTTATTGGAATTGCTTGAAATTCATGTATAAATGTGGA